GAAGCCTGCTTCTCCCTCTCCCACTCCCCCTGCTTGTGTTCCCTCTCTCGCTGTGTCTCTCTCTGTCAAATAAATAAATAAAATCTTTTAAAAAAAAAAAAGAAAGACATTCGGTATCTGAATGGATTAAAAAAAAAAAGAAAGAAAGAGAAACAAGACCCATCTATATGCTGCATATAAGAGACTCATTGCAGACTGAAAGTGAGGGGGTGGAGAACCATCTGTCATGGTAATGGATGTCAAAAGAAAGCTAAAGTAACCAAATGTATAACGGACAAGCTAGATTTTAAACCAAAGACTATAATAAGAGATGAAGAAGGGCACTATATCATCATTAAGGGGTCTATCCAACAAGAAAATCTGACAATTGTAAATATTTATGCTCCCAACTTGGGAGCACCGAAATATATAAATCAATTAATAGCAAACATAAAGGAACTCATTGATAATAATACAGTAATAGTAGGGGACTTTAACACCCCCATTTACGGCATTAGCTAGATCATCTAAGCAGAAAATCAACAAGGAAATGACACACTGGACCATGTATTTCCTGTAAATGACCACAACAATGAATGACACACTGGACCATGTGGACTTAACCAATATATACAGAACATTTCATCCTAAAGCAGCAGAATAACCATTCTTTTCAAGTGCACATGGAACATTCTCCAGAATAGATCACATACTACATCACAAATCAGGCCTCAACAAGTACAAAAAGATTGAGATCACACCAAGCATACTTTGAGAGCACAGTGCTATGAAACTTGAAGTCAACCACAAGAAAAATTTTGGAAAGATCTCAAATGCATGGAGGTTAAAGAACATATTACTAAAGAATGAATGGGTTAACCAGTAAATTAAAGAAGAAATAAAAAAAATACACGGAAGCAAATGAAAACATGACAGTCCAAAACCTTTGGGATGCAGGAAAGGCAGTCATAAGAGGGAAGGGTAGAGCAATACAGGCCTTCCTCAAGAAACAAGAAAAGTCTCAAATACACAACCTAACCTTATACCTAAAAGACCTGGGAAAAGAACAGCAAATAAAGCCTAACACCAGCAGAAGAAGGGGAATAATTAAAATCAAAGCAGAAATAAATAATATAGAAAAACAACAACAAAAACATAGAAGACATCAACAAAACTAAGAGTTCATCCTTTGAAAGAATTAACAAAATTGATAAACCCCTAGGCATACTTATCAAAAAGAAAAGAGAAAGCACCCAAATAAATAAAATCACAAGTGAAAGAGGAGACATCACAACGAATACCACAGATATATGAACAATTATAAGAGAATATTATGAAAATTTATATGCCAACAATTTGGGCAGTCTGGGAGAAATGGATACATTCCTAGAAGCTGAATCAGGAAGAAATAGAAAATTTGAGCATACCCAGAAGCAGCAAAGAAATTGAATCAGTAATCAAAAATCTCCCAAAAAACAAAAGTCCAGGGCCAGATGGCTTCCCAGGGGAATTCTACCAGATATTTAAAGAAGAATTAATACCTATTCTTCTGAAACTGTTCCAAAACATAGAAATGGAAAGAAAACTTACAAATTCATTCTACAAGGCCAGAATTACCTTGATTCCAAAACCAAAGACACCACTAAAAAGGAGAATTATAGACCAAAATCCCTGATGAACATGGATGCAAAAATTCTCAACAAGATACTAGCAAATCAAATCCAACATAATATTGAAAGCATTCTTCACGATCAAGTGGGATTGATTTCTGGGCTGCAGGGGTGGTTTAATATTCACAAATCAATCGATGTGATATGCCATATTGATGAAAGAAAGAATAAGAACCATATAATACTATCAATAGAGGCAGAAAAAGCATTTGACAAAGTACAGCATCCATTCTTGATAAAAACCCTCAACACAGTCGGGTTAGAAGGAACATACCTTAATATAATAAAGGCCATATGAAAAACCCACAGGTAATATCATCCTCAATGGGGAAAAGCTGAGATATTTTCCTCTATGGTCAGGAGTAAGACAGATATGTCCACCTTCATGACTGTTATTTAACATGTTACTGGAAGTCCTAGCCTCAGAAATTAGACAAAAAAAGGAAATGAAAGGCATCCAAATCAGCAAGGAAGAAATCAAACTTTCACCCTTAAGAGACAACTTGATACTCTGTAGAAAACATGGAAGATTCCATCAAAAAATTACTAGCACTGATACATGAATTCAGCAAAGTCACAGGATATAAGATCAACATACAGAAATCTGTTCATTTCTATACATCAATAAGGGAGCATCAGAAAGAGAAATCAAGGAATCAATCCCATTTAAAATTGCACCAAAATAATAAACCTAATCAAAGAGGTAATCGATTTGTACTCTGAAAACTATGGAACACTTATGAGATATATTGAAGAGGACATAATGAAATGGAAAGATATTCCATACTCATGGATTGGAAGAACAAATATTGTTAAACTGTCTATACTCCCCAAAGCAATATACACATTTAATGCAATCCCTATCAAAATACCACCAGCATTTTTCACAGAACTAGACCAAACAATCCCATAATTTGTATGGAATCACAAAAAATCCCGAATAGCCAAAGCAGTTTTGAAAAGGAAAAGCAAAGCTGGAGGCATCACAATTCCAGGCCTTAAACTATATTACAAATCTGTAGTCATCAAGACAGTATAGTACTGGCAGAAAAACAGACACATAGATCAATGGAATAGAATAGAAAGCCCAGAAATGGACTTTGTATTTCTGTATACACAGGGAACTGTATGGTCAACTAATCTTTGACAAAGCAGGAAAGAATATCCAATGGAAAGAAGACAGTCTCTTCAACAAA